TCTATCCGAAAATTCATCTGGCATTGTAAAACCAAGGTGCGACTTCATTTTCATTGATTTTGTAGACAGATTTCAATAAGATGGTTTGTTTCAGACCAAATTCAAGGTTCCAGAAACATGTCTTCTTTTTTACACTGCCTCTCAACTTTGAAGCTGCTATGGCCGCATATCTTGTACATTGAAATGTCTGCATGACCTCGTCAAGTGTCCACTCAGATGGTGCTAAGCTAGAATAGTAATTCGCTCCTGATGCGGTAATTTTTGAGCTGCATGCGAATTGTACATAGTTTTTAAATAATCAATTATTGGCGTATTTGCATCATACGTCGCAGTTCTTTGGCGTGAGTTGCTCAGCAGATCGTCAAGGCCAGTCATTATTCTTAGTTGTTGGCCTTGACCTGGTGCGATGGCTTCACTGATTTGTTGAGCAGCAGCGTGCAGCGCAGATGCGAACTTCGACTTCAAACGCCGTAATGAACTGTTACTTTGTCCTTTCAATGGTGCACTAACTTGTGACTTCAGTGGACTCACTCGTGTGGTTTCAAATAGTGTATTGATTGATTGTTGGTATTGTATTTCACGTTCGACTGTTGCTGTTGAAATGTCACTAGTGACAGAATCAGCTGAAGCTCTAGTGGATAGCGGTGACAGTGGAGCGTTTAGGAAAGGTGATTTTGGAGGACGGCTTAGACATTTCCTATGATCAGTACACAGCTGACCTCCATACGGAAACGGACCCAGTGTTCCACATTGTTCCATTGTTGCTGCGCGAAGGCTGTTCCGCTTTGGTTTATTACTGGTAGCACATCCATCATGTAAACAGTGCAGCGGTGCTTTCCATCCGAATCCAAAAGCATAGCGATGACTTGCACATGTTGATAAATCAGCTTCACGATTCGTATTGATAACCGTCGATAGCCGATTTCTGAGCAGGTCACCTTCTGTAATTTCACAGTTGTCAACTTCTTTTTTACCGATGACCTTTCTGTCCTTCAGATACCTTCCAGCATTCTTGTTCAAATTGTGGAAGCGAACGCATTCGATAGGTAAGGACTTATCTTCTTAAAATGCCCGATAATGGAGAAAATGCTCGGAAAAAGTATCAGACACTTACCATAGCATCTACCGGGTTCCGGGTTGGGGCCGTTACTGTTTTTGTTGTATATAAATGATATTGGTGACAATTTAGAGAATCTTTGTAAGTTGTTTGCTGATGATACCTGTATTTTTGGCAGTGGTCGTGATCTTAACCTGTCAGTTGACTCGCTGAACAGCGATTTGCAACGTTTGTCCGATTGGTCTGATACCTGGTCACTTTCGTTCAATGTGAAGGAGTGTAAATCGATATTATTTACGAAAAACCGCAGGCTTGCTTTATCGACACTTGTTATGAATAATAGTCCTTTGAGTGATGTAGATGAACATGTCCATTTAGGTTTGTTGTTCTCAAAGGATATGACTTGGACTAAACGCATTGATAGGCTTGTACCCAAAGTTAATAGTTTGATAGGATTGATAACTTTGACAAAATGGTCGTTGAACAGACAGGCGCGCTTGATATAATTTATAAAAGCTATGTATGATCTACTCTGAATTACGGTGCTACATTGTATTCTTTGACCACTGATTATAATCTGCTAAAGCTTGATGGTATACAAAGTAGAGCAGGTCGAGTAGTCTTAGGTGCAATCAGCAGAACATCTACTTCGCTCTTGCTAAACGACTTACACTGGCTGCCGATTCGAGTACACTTCTTACAAATGCGATTAATTTTGTTCTTTCGTATAACACATGGCCTTACAGCTCCTTACTTACGGGAACATATACAACTCTCAGTTTCAAATTCTAATTATAAACTGCGTGTTGGAAATCGAAAAAGGTACACAGCTAGGAATTTGACTACCAAATTACTTAGTAACACGTTTTTTGCTAAATTGCCTATAGAGTGGCACGAGATACCCGATGAGATTACTGTGATACCAAAACTAACATCTTTCAAGAAAAAGCTTAGTGATCACTTTTACTCATTACATTTGACATGTGATTTGCGAAGCTGTTTTCGTATGAATGTACTGCGGAAACTTGAAGTAGCCTACACAAGATGTAGAATAGGGCTTCCTCCTTTGAAACATTGTTTGAAGGCAAAAGGGCTTCTACCCATCGATGAAACAGACTTATACACATGCGGATTGCGTGAAACTGTAAAGCATTATTTTTTGCACTGTGTTTTGTATGCGAACTCACGACAAATCTTCTTCCATCACTACAGCAGTTTGGCGCTATAAATATGGATCTCCTGCTTCTGCGATGCCCACTTCACACTGATGACATGCGGTTTGTTTATAGGGCTGTTGTTGAATACATTAAATGTACAAAGCGTTTTTGATTTGGTGGGTAGTAAAGACTACTTTCTAATCTTTATGGTATTCATTTTTATCTTAGCATCAACTCTATGTTATAATAACATAGTTAGTGTTTTGTTGCCTCCCAAGTTTGCTTTCATGTTGTCTACTTTATCCTCCCTCACTGCCACACACACACTAGTCACCCTCCCATCGTTGCTGCTGTTCCTTTGATCATTACTTTAATAGCTACTCTGTATCAACATTTTCGAAAAACTATTTGTTTCTCTTTGCTTTTTGTTTTTCTTTCATTTTGCTCATCTGTACTCCCTTTTCCTCTCTTTTTCTTATTTTGGTTGGTCTCTGGTACGTAACAACGGAAGCTTTTGCTCACCTCTGTAATGGCTTTTGTCGCTTTCGGTGGCATAACGTCTAAGGATATTTTTTTTAAATAAAACTGCTTATAAAAAAAGAAAAAACTATCTTATATATATACTTAACACCATAGCAAAATTTATGTGGTAAGAATGAGTCACCGATTCTTGCAAGATCATATAAAATCTTATGACAAGAATTCGTATGATCTTGCGATAAGAAATAAATATAAGTCACGTCTCTCAATGACAAGATCTTGTAAGATCATACACTTTCTTGTTACAAGATCTTCTAAGATCGTACACTTTCTTCTTACAAGATCTTGTATGACCTTGTCTTGTCTTGTGAGCTGATCATGTAAGATCTTATGAGAAGAAGTTAAAAGATTCTGCAGGATCTTACAACATCCTAAGATAAGATCTTGTAAGATCATGCAGTAAGATCTTGTTACAAGATTTCATAGGAAACGCCAGATCTTGCATGATCTTGTAAGATTAGTTTCACGTGGGTAAGGGCAATCCAGTTTGGGTTTAAATCGTCTTCTTCAACGCTAGCTGCTTTATTAAGAGTTACTTACTTTCTTTTCAGCAGTCTAAATAAGCCAAGTATGGAAAAAGACCATTGTATAGGGTTAAGTTTTGATTTGCCAAAGGCTTTCGATCGTGTACCGAGTGACATTCTTCTAAATAAGTTAAAAGCAATGCAGCTATTAAAACTATTTGGTATTGACGGAAGTCTTTTTAATTGGTTTACGTCTTATCTTACAGGGCGCACCCAGTTTGTCAAAATTGGCGAGAGCTTTTCTTTTCAATCGTTGGTCCCCTTTGGAGTGTGTCCCAAGGGTGCATCCTACGGATTTACTAGAAATTGGCGAAACGGAATTTGGCCAGAAATCAAAGTTCCACAAGAATTTGGCCCTTTTTCTAATCGTTGCAACAGCAGTGAGTTATTGAAAATCCTCATGTTTTTCGCTATCTATGCCGTCTACATTCAGCGGCTACAGTTAAGAATCCTGTAAAAAAGAACACTAGAAGACAATATACAACACATGGACAGAAGACTGAGAGAGCAACGTTTGCAATTATTAACTCTTTTGCTGCGCGTGACGCAAATATGGGTCATATAAACACACTTATTTATATAATTTGGATATTAAAGAAAAAACTTTTTTTCATTATGTTCACCTTTGACCATTTACAACTTCAAGCGAAAACTTTCGTTATAAAATGAACTTAAATTATGATCAGTTTGGCCTTCAACATCGAGCAATAATTGTTTCTGGGTGATAAGGACGTATTTCTCCTGTTCTGTCTTTTCTCGATCGGCATATCCT